ATGTTTACCCCCCACAAGCAGGTGGGAGGAGAATAATGACCTCTGTTAAAAAGGTGTCCCCTTTTTTCCTTGGCCAGGTTCTTGTACGTTCAGCAACTGGCTGTTGAGTCTTCTAAATTTGCCCATGCTTATAAAGCTTTTAAGTTAACCACTAATATGCCTAATATTATCTTCTGACATTATTTTTTTCTTTGTTGTGTTAACCTACAAATATCAATCTCTAGAACTCATTCCATCACAGAAGTAAAACCAAGCCAACTTCCCCCCACCCTCATAATTTTCAGAATTATGTTGTTGTTTGAGGACTGGCATACATAGATTTTGATGGGGAATGAGGAGTCAGAATGAAATTGTGATTATTATAAATTCCTCAAGGCTTCCAATATTATGCAAAGCATAGTAGGATAAATGAAATGAGAATACTAATTAATAATTATGCACGCATCCACTAGTGGCATTACAGATAATCGATTCAGGATCGTAATCTGGAGCAGATTTTCCTTTGTAAATTAATGCAGTTGAAAAGTGAGTCATTACTGGATTCACTTAACAGTGAATCAACATGGCTCTTAAGTGAATCACATAGATGTTTAAGAAAATCCAGCTTCCCCATCTGGTGTTTTTTTGTTAGAAACCAGCTGGAAAGATCAAATATTGTGGTATATGATCACAGGAGCTGCAACTCGCCACGGGGCTGGTGGTGGAATTCCCCAGGCATATAGTTCTGTGCGATTTCAACCTGCTATCCCTGGGGGTGGAGGTAGCCCGAGAATTCATGGAAACCATGACTTCCATGGGCCTGTCCCAGGTCATCCAGGGCCCGACTAGTAATACACCCTATTTGGTGTTCTTGTCAGAGCAAGAACTGCCTATGTGATCTGGAATTGGTGGGCCCGTCCTTGGTCCCCTTGTCATGGTCAGATAGCAGTCTGGTGGCACTGAGTTTCTCAAGAGCTGTACCCCCCCCACCCCCAGGGAGGCAGCACCTATTAGATTGGCCTGCGCCCATCGACTAATGGGCCAGATAGGTTCCAGAAGGAGCTGGGGGTTATAACTGCAGATCTACTGTGCAGTCCAGCCGAGCTCTTAGTTTGGAATAGGAAGGTGACTGAGGCTTTGGATAGGATTCACCCATGCGACCTCTCCTCACCTGTAGACTTCTCTGTGCCCCGTGGTATACAGAGGAACTGAGAGGAATGAAATGCATGAGGAGATATCTAGAGCACCGCTGGCGGAAGGCAAGGGATGAACTCGATCGAACACGGGTAAGAGCTGCTACGAAGGCCTATCTCATGGCGATTTGTGCGGTGAAGTGTAAATACTTCTCCACACTAATTGCATCTGCAGATAATTGCCCAGAGACCCTCTTTAAGGTGAGCCTCCTCCTCTCGGAGAAGGAGATTAAAGTCTACCTGAAGGGGCGCTCTGGGGAATTTGCAGATTTTCTGGAAGGCAAAAATCGCTCGCCTTTGTTCCCAGTTGATTCTGGCATGGTTGCTGGTCCAGTGGAAGCCCGAGGTAGGTTCTTGCCCTGTTATCTGGGAATGTGTTATCTTGATGGAGGAAGTGGGCAGGATTCTAGGGAGTATGCATGCAAGCACCTGTGTTTTAGACCCATGTCCCTCCTGACTTGTGAAAGCTTCCCAGGAGGGGACAGGCTGGCACTGATTAATGCTTCCCTACAGAAGCGGGCAGTGTCCCAGCACTTTAAGAAGGCTGTGGTCTACCCTCTTTTTAAGAAGTAATTTTTTCAATTTCCAACCTGTGTCCAATCTGGGTGAAACAGATTATCTTGATCCCTACCAGTCAGAAATTAGGCTTGGATTTGGGACAGAAATGCATTGGGCACACTTTTGGATGATCTCTGGCGGGAGCAGGATGGGGGTAGTACATCCATCCTTGCTCTACTTGACCTCTCGGCAGCTTTTGATACCATCCATCATGGTATACTCCTGGGGTGGCTTTGGGGGATGGCAGTGGGAGGCCTTGTGCTATCCTGGTTCGCTTCCTTCCTCTGCAGCCGCTCTTAGTCAATGTTGATAGTGGGGGAGAGATCTAGACCTTGCCTACTGCTTTGCGGGGTTCCGCAGGGCGCAGTACTCTCCCAGCTCGTGTGATCCGCTGTCGCCAGGGCAGTGTGTATTTGATTTTACATTGTATTATATTGATGTACTTGATTATTTTTGTTAGTTTTATTGTTTAAAATGTGGCTTAATATTCTATAAACCGCCTTGAGTTGTCATGGGTGAATAGGTGGCAATATAAATTCAATGAATAAATAAATAAACTGGTCATAAATCTGAACCAGTCGCCAAGTGCTGTGACTGTGGGGATGGTGCAATGGCTGTGTGAGGTGCAGTCTAAATCAATTTTTCCAAGGCTGTTGTAACTTTGAACCATCATTAAATGAATGGTCATCAGTCAAGGACTGCCTATATTATTACATTCAGCAGGTGGAATGTAATATATACACTTGGAAGGTTTGTGGGAAAAGAATTATCTCTGGGAGAGAAATAAAAACTGAGGAGGGAATAAGCTATGACATATGTTGAAAGCTATTACTTGTGCCTTCTCCCCATATAAAATATTCTCCATAAAAAAACCTTTGCTTTCTCTAGCGCAGACAATGAAGGGGAGGCATGTTAGCTTCCACAAAATTGAGAGCAACCTGAGAAATTCAGAAAAATCCCTGAAAAAACTAGGTAGGAGGAACTCTTGTTGACTGTGTGTCATTGAAACAAAGGCTGGACTCTACTACACAAGTTTTAACTGAGCATTTTGCAGGGCCACAAATGCCAACACAACAGGAGCAGCAGCCACCTAGAGATTCTCGGGGCAGAGGGTCAGTTTAAATTCAACACTACTTCAATTTAAAACAACAAAAAATCTGCTGGTAGTCTTCTGCAGACTCAGCTTGCCACCCACAGGGGAACTCGGGCCTAGTGGGTGATGACAGAATGGCAGCTGGAAGTAGGCTGCAAATTTACTGTAGCTTGTACTGACCAAGGCAAGTGGTAGAATGCAGCAGAGACACACAAATGCTTTGTGGCTCTCTAATGACGCAGATTCTTGCAGTCCAAATCTGGTAGCCTCTATATTAAGGAAACATCCTAGTTGTTGTTTATCTGATGACGGTGCAAGCCTGCACAACCAGAAGTCTGCTTCCTCCAATGTAGCCATTGGCTTTTTGATGACTAATACTCAAAGGGGGTCCATCTAAGAAGCCTTCCTTGGGTCTAAGAGAATGACTACTTCTGCCCCTGGCATTCTGCCAAGATGGTAGTAGCACTGTTGGCAGAGAAGCCCCACCGGTAGTCCCTAAGCCCTGGTCCAGTCTGATACCGCTAGCCTTTGTACGCTATCAGTGAAAAGCAGAGCAGCCACCTACATTACATGATGGAATTCTTGAAAGAAAGTGCTCATTCTCATCCCTACAAACCATTTGGCTGAGGGTCTCAAGCTCAGGAACAATTGCTCCTCTGCATGTTTTTTTTTAAAAAACGCAATGAAGTCTTTCTGTTGCAGAATGAGAGACTGTGATATTTGTGTAGTCTGGCTGAATTTTGTATTATGTAACTAGGCACTGAAAGATCCACAGCCATACTGGGAAACCAAATGTTCTTTTCCACCAAAGTCTTGTTTGGTTTGGAAAGCTTTCTAAATTCTAAAGCAGTGATTTAAGATTCACCAGGGAACTAAATCTGTTGGCCACAGAGAAGCGGAATTAGTTGCTTGCCCAACTGAAACAGTGTGATTACTTCAAATGTATGCTTGAGATCAAGGGAATAATTGTTTGTCTTGTGAAGTCTAGAAATATTTTTCTTGGGTTCACTCTGCTACTAAATTTTGACTGCTAAAGTGTCAACTACAGCTAACCAACGGGCACATTAAATACTTTTAAAGGTGATGCAGATTACCAACCAATCAAGGACCTATCATTGTTTCATCCTGCATGTAATGCGGCAGACTAATTAATGGGACTCAGAGCCAGGGCGGATATTTTTAAGTGCTTGGGTATTTTTGTGTTTTTCAGTGGAAAATAATGGGGTTTTTTTTTTGCTTTAAATATAAGCAACTGATGACAAGCAATTATCCTCTGCCTTGCACTGAAGCAAAATACACCTCAGATTTGGAATTAGATGAAAGTTAGGCATTCTACTGATCTTCATGAATAGCAGGGTAAAAGAGTTTGCCAAATTAAACTTGTTATTAATGAAGCAGCATCAGAAACTAATTTGGTGGCGTTAGGTATGCGCCTGTACATGTGTATATTCATATGTACGGATCTGCACAGTCATTAACAATACCTAAAGCCCATCTTACCCACCACCAACCCTAAAATCTCAGTGCAGCACACGTGTGAACAAGTTTATAAACTCCTCACCCTGTCTCTCTATACTGATTTATTGCTGTTAACAGCTGCTACCGATTCTCTAGAAGTGACTGTTCCTGCATAATATACTGACTGCAAGATTGCTCAGTCCAGGAGTTAGAGCCTGACTTGATGTGATTTCTGCACTAAGAAGAGTCTCAACAATTTCTGAGCTTTCCAAAAAATCATCAATGGATGCAAAATCTGTAAATATGCACATATTTTACATACTGATATTATGCCACCTGTGAAAGGTCAGAAGGTAGCCCACTTCTGGGATAGAGATAGATAAACAGAGATGATAGATCCAATCTCTCTCTCTCTCTCTCTCTCTCTCTCTCTTCACACAGCAGAGAGAAATTTCTCAGACTACAAAAGTGGCTTTCTTTTACATGGCTATTTTTATATCTGACTGTGGACACAAATCAACAAATAGAAAACGAGGACTAGCAGATACTTAAAATCAACTATTTTTAGTCAGTTTATATAGAGGATTTTGTACTGAAATTGAACTTCTCGTGAAAAAAATGAATGACCTGTAGACTCAGTGGAACAATGCAGAAGAAAACCCCACTCCACTCCACCACCTTGTACACACCTACCCCTGCTCCACCCACTAGCAGATTCCTCCAGGAACATCACTATAGGAAAGAGCAGAGACTAGACACTATGGGCCTAGCCAGAGGGCCATGGCTCCACAGCAGCAGAAGATCTGCACCCTTCTCCTTTAAAACACTCTTTATTGTCTGGCTTCATCGGTGAGAACCACATTCTACGCGATTCCAAAACTAGATCCTCTTGGCTTAAGTAGACTGCTCATCAGACCGTTGTCTCGAGGAAACGGTCATTCGAACCTCAAAAGTTTCTCTCTCCAAATTTCCAGACTCTTCCGAGTTCCTTAACGGAGACGCAGACTTGTCTGTTATTGATTTAGCTGAAACACACAAAAACAGCCACATCCAATTTTACTGTTAGTCTTATAAAAAATGGTTGAGCCAATCAGCAGAGTCCATTTTCCCTGTGAAAACCTCTTTCCTTCCCCTGATTTCTATGCACAAAACCACCTTAATTTGACATTTTCCCAGTCCCTGCCCTTAAATGATGAAAGAAGAGACTTCAGTTTGGCGTCGCTAGTTAAACCTGGCAGAGCCCCCTGTCTGAAATCCTGAAAGGTTCTGCTAGTCAGCGGAACCAAACAGGGTGAAAAGAAGCCCTGAACTGACAAAGAAAATTTCCTGGGATCCCAGATCTGCTATGATGTCATTCTGCTTACAAGCCATTTTAACTACTCTACCACACTTGAAACTTGCCTGTCTCTAATTCCTCTGATGATCGGCGACTGACCATCTATTTTGGTTTGAAAGACAGGTTTAACATACATGTAGTCCAGCTCATTTAGTGACCGATCAAAGTTACAACGGCACTGAATAAATTGACATGTGACCGTTTTTCACTGTTGCAACTTTTCAGCATCTCCATGATCATGGGATCCAAAGTCAGAGGCTTGGCAAATGGCTCATATTTATGACGGTTGCAGTGTCCCGGGGTCATGTGATCACTTTTTCCGACCTCCTGACAATCAGAGTCCATGGGGAAAGCCAGATTCACTTAACAAACCAGGTTGCTAACTTAACAACTTCAGCATTTCACTTAACAACCATGGCAAGAAAGGTCGTAAAATGGGGCAAAACTCCTTTACAAATTCTCACTTAACAACAGAAATTTGGGGCTCAATTTAGTGTGTACTTCACTATAGTGTGTACCTGGTAAAAGGTAAAGTTCAGATTTAACTTGGACTAAAATAGGGTAAGAAGGAAGGCTGATTGCCAGCTAAATGAAACACGAAGCATGCTTATCATTCTGCCAATATCTTTGACCATGTGATTCTCACTGGTGGGAATCTGTATGCTGTATAGGTAGTCCTTGACTTACAGCCATTTTTTTAGCAACCATTCCAAGTTACAGTGCAACTGAAAAAAGTTACTTACGCCCAATCCTTGCACTTACAACCATCGCAACATCCATGCGGACACCTGATCAAAATTTTGTGCACTTGGCAACTGGCATATTTTTATGATGGTTGCAGCATCCCTGGGTCCTTCCCAGTCAGCTTCTAACAGCCATAATCATGGAGAAAGCTGGGTTTGCTTAACAACTACACGATTCATTGAATGACTTTAACAATTTACTTAATAACCGTGGCAAAAAAGGCCATAAAATTGGGCACAGATCACTTAAAAATGGCCTAGTTTAGAAATTGAAATTCTGGTCCCGATTGTGGTCATAGATTGAGGACTACCTGTGTTTCTGGAAGTACATAATGGGCTATTTACAATACAATTCATCAAACCAAATATAGGAGCAACCATTACAAGGAGTCTTCAAATTAAAACTGTCATTTGATTACCGTTTGAAGTCATGATGACTCGGCATGGGCACTTTACCCTCCGTAAAGCAGATCTCACACACACACACCTGCAGTCTCATGATTCTGATCTGGGTTCTTGGCAGCCTGTTTGCATTTATGACAGGTTGCCAAGTGCTTCACAATTATGTGATTGCTATTTTCAGTCTTCTCTGCCGGCTTCCCCAGAAAGTCAATGGGGAAGCTGGCAGGAAATTTTGCCAGCTCATACCACCTGCCAAAGAATCTCCCTTCCCTTTCATTCACAAGGAGAGGGCAAAAATCCTTCATAGGGCTACCGAAACAAAGCTTGGAAATTTGAGATCCCCGCTTTGTTTCCCCAGCCCAGCATAGCAGTTCCCCCCTTCTATGCGCAGAGAAGAAAGGATATAAGCTAAAGATTATGAAGATGCCCACTTAATTTCTCCAGCCCCACACAAGAATTCCCTTTTGCACAAGAAGGGGACACTATCTCGTGTGTTGGGCTGAAGAAACAAAGCAGCATTCTTTGCAATCCCCAGTTTGTTTCTCTAGCCCAGTGCACTAGTTCCCTTCTGCGCATGGAGGAAAGAGAACCAGTGTAGTGGGGTGGAGAAACAAAATGGGGATTGGAAATATCTCCACTTGCTTTCTCTAGCCTGGTGCACGAGTTCCCTTCTGCGCATGAGGGGAAGGGGACATCTGTGACGGGCTGCAGAACCAAGGCTTGGATCTACCACAGGAGGTCCTTTCCAGATATGGAGAACTGCCTGCCCACTTGGGCAGACAGCTCTTTCTCTTTGTCTGGTTAATGACTACAAGTGGGCAAGCTGGGATTGTGATCATTGAGCGATGTGATCACATGGACATCACTCAGCTCGGAAGAGTTTTCTCACAAAAACAATAAAACGCCTACCAGGCGTGGATCTGCGTATCAGTTCTTAGCTACCGTTTTATTCCTACTTTTAAAAACATTTTTGAAAACAGCAGCCTTCCACAAAATGAGATCAGTTCTGGATTACAGCTCCTATTATTTTCTGTTTTGAAGCTTTGGGACAAAGCAGTTATTGGAGTCCAACAGAGTTGGAAGGTCAGGACAAGGCTGGGAAACTATGCTTTGTTTCTGTCCGGCCCATAAGGGACTCTTTACTAAAGAGATGATGTCCTGAAGGCTTTCTCATGCCTTGGAGATCCACTGCCTACACGAATCATAGACAGAAAGAGGGGTTCCTGTTACTGGGTGTCTGCGGAAAGGCAGAGGCTCAATGCTTAAGCAGGATCTGCCAGTTTCCTGGGAAACTAACCTCATCTCTCATGGGAAATAGAAGAACATAAACATACTAGTGAAAGCTGAAAAAGAGAAAGTTGCAGTCTGGCTATTATATTGCTAGCCTAAGTGAGGTTCTAACCAAGAAATAGTCCCAGATTTCAGTACACAAACATCACAAGTTACTTTTTTTTAAGTGAGGACTGAATTAAATGTTGGGGTTTGAGTCACCCCAAATCTGGAGATTTCACAAATGCCCATTTTTGCCTGGCACTACCCCACTGTTCAAAACTTTTAATTTTTGAAAGGTCACTAATTCAATAGTTCTTTGCTTTTCCCAAGGAAATCTTGTGAAGTGTGGTTCTGTCAAGTAAGCAACAGGTTATTTGGAGTCCTCAGCAAGTGTTATCTGCACAGTGCCCATCCTACAGTGATAAAATTGAATATAGACCATCACTCAGAAACTTCACTTGAGCATCATCACTGCTCTGCTTTCCTCGGCAATTATTTCATAGATAGTTGAAGGAAACACTCTCTAAGCAATTCTGGGAGTGGGGTTCAGGCATCATTTTTATTTCTAATCAAGCTTGATTCAGGATTGTAACATACCTGTCGTGCAGCCTACAGACACTTTTGCAGTGTGGGGGCGAGCGGGGAGGTTGGCCAGGTCACTGAACATTGGGTGCTGCCTTTGTGAGGAAGACCGAGCGAGCTTGCTTCTTGTTCTTGGGACATCTGATGAGAGAAGTGTGAGGGGAGGCATCAGTGATCACAGATGAAGGTAAAGTCCCACAAGCAACACCAAGAAGTCAAATATGCCCACCTGTGAAATTGCTGTATATTTCTCAGGGTCAATTCCCCACCAGAACAAACACAGAGATCTGTTTGTTCTATAGCAAGGGTCTTCAAATTTGGCAAGTTTAAGTCATGTTAGCTCAGGAATTCTGGGAGTTGAAGTCCACAAGTCTTAAAACTGTCAAGTTTGAAGACTGTTCTATAGGTTGGTGTTCTTCCATCTGGATCCCACCTAATTTAACTACAACTTCCATAATTTCTCACTTAAGGTCATGCTGTCTACAACGTTTTGGAACCAAAAGGCTCAAAGTTGGAGGATACTGCTATTGACAATTACTTGACAGGAAGGTACAGTGCCAAAATACTTCAAAATGCCTGGCATAAAAAGAAAGAATGACTAGGTCTACTCAGAGCACCTGCAAACAGAATACAAAACTTACATTCCTTTCCAGTTATTGATGGAAGATGTGTGTCCATACGTCCTTTGTAAATATGACCATCAAGACCCAGTATATCTACTTCTTCATGCTGGAAGTAAATGCAAACACAGAAGAAATTTCAACTGAACCTTGCTAAAGGTTAACCACTTTTTACAAGGGTTTTTACTTGTAAAGCTGAAGAATGAGCTTGAAAACCACATTCTGGTGACTGGATAGACCATTGGAACTTAGAAATTGGATTTTTTCCTTTAAAACAATTCACAGGCAGTTACACATGTCTTGTCCCTAATCATTGCTGCCTTCCATCTGCTGCACAATGCCTCATTTCCAGTTCTGGAAAATTAGAAAAGGCATGTCAGGTCTGTCATTTGCTATTCAGAAATCCAATTCTATTGAACTGTACAGAAACAAGTGGGGATTTCTGTCCCTTTCAGTAAAAAGATACATGCTACCATTGGGGAGCCTACTTGTGTGGGAGCAGGGCAGGAACAAACATGGAACTCAAAGAAATGTAGCTTGGAAATTAATTGAACTTATTGAATATTTCAATTCACTGTGGTCCAATTTTGTTTCTGAGCATAGTTAAGCAAGCTCTATCCTCTGTTCTCTTATTAACCCGAGAACCCGAGGGACTTATTGAGTGATTAGCTCCTTCCACATACAAAGGATCTGCCAGTCACAATTTTGGAATGTCCCTGACATCATTGGAGGCTTCTGCCAAACCGATCAACTTCAGAACTTTCTCCAAAGGAGATACTACAATTCCAATTGCAGGAACAATCACTTTGCCCCAAGTGTTGCTGTGGAGATTTCCATCTTCACAATCCTAAATTGCCTTGTTTCCTTTCTTTCCATTCTTTCTCACCCAACAAAGTCCTCCCCTGACAACCGCTGACTTAACTTTCCCCACCTTCACTTGGGAGTAAAAAGCTAATGCCTCACAGTGGAATGCTGCCTGGCATGTAAGGTAAGTGGGATAGGTAGTGCATGCTGCACGGGATCGTACACACAAAAGTGAGGGGCTATAATCAGGAAACCACCCAGGAGATTTAGTTTAGCTTTTTCCAATCTGCAACCTCCCTTAGAATTCTTAAATTACATTTCCCTTCATTTTTAGCTGACACAATCATGGGGGGGATGGCTATAGGATTTGTAGTCATACTGCATGTGTGTGTGTGTGTGTGTGTGTACATGTGCCTGTGTTGTACCAGATGGGAAGGTTTTCAGCTGCATCTAGCATTACTGGAGTCAGAACAATGGAATTGTATTAGCATGAATGACTCTAGCAAAGATGGCCAAGTTGTGTTATCATATCTCTGCTAACGGAGGAGAATAAAAAGAAATTACAGAGGAACCTGTGGCTAAAAAGACTTTTGTTCTTCAGTTGCTTTTATATTATAGAAATCTCAGAGACAGGTAGTAAAGTATATCCATTATCTCAAAAGACAATACCAAGCCAGCGACCTTGAAGTTAAGAGCGTGAAAGGGGAGACTCTAAAAAAAACCCAGTGATGTTGTTATCGCTGTTATTCAGAAAGGCATTATACTCTTTCTTCTCCAAGTGCTTAAATAAGGCGAGAGATTGTTGTGAAAGACTGACAAGCTTGTCTGACCAAAGGGTTGGCTGGCACTGGATTGCATTTCTCAGTGCTGCCCAAATATGAAGCCTTGGAAATTTCCTCTTCATGCGCTCTTCTACTTTCAGGGTTGAAGGCTGGGATTGTTCACTTTTGGTTTTTCTACCCTGTTCTGCCCCTTCCTATCTCCCACTAACATAGACACAAAAGAAAAGCTGACGAATCTTGAAATAAGCTCCTGAAATAGACTTATTTTTCCAAAAGAAGCTAGTAAAACTTTTTAGCAAAGCATCTACTAGTGGGTCCCCAATTCTCAAGGAAAAGAACATGTCTCCAAGCACAAGGAAGGACTGAACAAGAGATTTCTTTGTATTTCTTCTTCCATTACAGCATAAAACTCTATTTCTTCTTCCATTACAGCATACAACTGCCCAATTTAGGGACCTTTAGGAAGACACAAACTGTCATTTTTAAAGCAGAGGCATTAATACCAACTAGGTAAACTATGTTGCTTTTAATGGGCCTAGCGTAAGTATGACTAGGTCTCCATATACAACCACTGGTTAAAACAGAAAGGGTAACCATGGGCATGAAAATGACAAAGTAGCCTATACATAATGGAGTGCTGTTCACAATATCCCATATACTCTACTGTAGTTGATCCAGTCTGTACCTAAATAGGAATGGGGTCTTGGGGGAGGTGCTGGTGGAACCAGGCCTCAATTGCTACAAATGAGGCAAACTCCATGCTTAATAAAGATAAGATTTATAGAGCCTCACCCTGAGGCACTGTAAGAACATAAACAATGGACAAAGAACACCTGTGGTTTAACCCTGCTGTGCTTTTTCTTACATTAGGCAAGGGCTGTGAAGCCTACTACCTTCTCTGCATTGCTTAATTACAACTCTCAACATCTGTCTCTCTTGGCCAGTCAGTATAAGGTTGCTAGGAATTGTACTTCAGCAACATCTGGAAGGCCACCAGGTCAATACCAGACTCTTCTCCAGGTGTTATCAAAACTATATGGCTGATAAATAACCACAAACAGGTAGCAAACACCTCAGGAAGGAAAACCTCTCAGGCACTAAATGACAAATGTTAAACCTGTACTATAGGTAGTCCTCAACTTACAACAGTTTGTTTAGCAAAGTGGAACAGAACGGGTAGAAAAAAGTGACTTGTAATCGTTTTTTACGACTGTTGTAGCATCCCCATGGTCACATGATCAGCATTCAAACACTTGGCAACTGACTCATATTTACGTCAGTTGCAGTGTCCCAGGGTCACGTGACCTTCTGACAAGCAAAGTCAATGGGAAAGCCAGAGTCACTTAACAACCTTAGCAACAGAAATGTTGGGCTCAGTTGTGGGTTGTAAGTTGAGGACTACCTGTATTTACATCTCCTCTTTAGGTAAGAGTTCCTTGCCCTTTTGGAGGACAGATCATGTGAAACAGTTAAAGGCAGTGCCATTTTAAGCTTCAAATGCAGTTGTCCAGCTCTAGGTCCATGCCAGTGTTCATCGTCTCTCTCCACCTGGCTCCTCCTTACCTTCATCGTTGCCAGCATGGTGCTTTCATCTGACGGGACAGAGGGCATACTCTGACTGAACTGTTGCAGTTTCATAGAGCGTCTGAATGGATGGGTGAGGGTATGGCTGCCTCCACAATGCCGAGGTACACTCATGTAGCTAATGTCAGCCATCTCCGGAAGTCTCTCTCTGTAAAGAGGCAAGGACCCATAATTGACATGAGGCAAAGTCCAGCAGCCCTATGATCCCAGAAACCCCAAAAGAGCAACCGCTTTGTTTCTGAACGATTAGATTCATTTCGGGGCATTAGCAGCAGAAGGGAGGGCAGGGGAAGCATTGTAATCAAGAATTAGGAGTTCAAGATCAGGCATGACTTTTCTGTAGAGGCCTCGTTTGAAGTGTGATTTTGGCCCCGTGGCCAGTGTGAATATTTTTTTTTTGGTTCATTGTGCTGTAAACCAAGCAATTGGATTAATCTGGTGAACCAGAATGTATAAAAGGTCAGCATACTTACATCCTACCATGTGGGCATCCACTATATCTTAGCATAGTATAGCAAAATGACTGATTGTCAACGAAGCAATTTTACAGGCTCACAGCAAGGGTTAGAGTGAAAGAGGGGGGAGTGTCTCTGGGTGGAAATCTGCTCCTATTTCCACCTTTCAATCCTCCCTTGTTCCCCGTAACAGTTGAGCATTGTGTGGCTAAAATTCAAACATTATCAGATAAAATTTGCACCTTTTCTGGGGGAATAGGGGTAGGGTAGATTAGTTATATATCAAAAAAGAATAGCATCTCTCAGAGGTCTTCTATCCTCGTCCCTATTTTTCATATCCCCAAAGAGAATAAAGTGCTTTTAAAAATAGCACTGGCTTCAGGTGATATCATATGAGGTTTCTGCATCCAAAATGGCTTCCTTAAATGGTATTAATGCGCAATGAGATAGTAATCACTCTTTCCTAATGCTGATAAAACGATCATCAACATCTTAGAGAAGGGAGGACCTCTAAGATGTTGATTATTAAGATGTTTATCTGGGCAAGATAAATAGCTCGAGTGTTCTGTTGAGAGAAAGTCAAAGTTGTCTGTAATCCAAATGCCAAGGATGGGACAAGATATTAGAACTGTCCTCCTTCAACAGGAAAAGGAAGGAAGTTCAGCTGACATATTGCTAAGAGTTAGTCTGAGGATCATTTACTATGACATTCTACACAGGGTCTAAACTCTGGACTCCACCCTTAGGAAATCATAATGATGAGTGATCGCATTCCACTGCTATGCTGAAAGTATGCCCTTATGCCCACCTGCCCAGAAGATGGCAAAATCAAACAAATGGGGGGAGTGGGGGAATGTGTGTCTGTGTGTGAGGAAATGGCAGAAACCACCTCATCGTTTTGTGTTTAGGTGAATTGCATTTGGGAAAATAGCTTTGCTCAAGCAGTCTTTTCTAAATTCACCTCGCCTGTCAGCCATATTTTAAGCATGTCCTTGTTAACTTTGAAAATTCCAAATCTGCCCTCTAGCCTGAAAAGTTAGCATGCTACTTTGATTCTTCAGTATCACAAATCTGAGGCAGAAATTGTGCTCACTCTGCCCTTGAGTACTGCAAGCCTCCCTGGCAAGAAAGCTCCTAAAGATTATGTCAAATCAGGACAGGAAATCAGGAATCAAGGTGGTTCAAATGAATATAGGCTTATTGCATGCCAAATTATGCAAAAATCTCAACTACTAACAGCCAAAGTGAATTGGTGGTAAATTGGAGTCAACAGAATTCAAGCTGGGCTGGACTTAGATCTCTTGTGAGCATAAAGGGACTCAAGACTGATGATGTGCTTGATCCCTTCCTCTGGCTCAGCCTGGTCCTTTCCTACAGATTATATGATCAGTTCTTTCAGCCATGAAGGTCTAGTCTAGTGTGAGACTTGGGGCCTATTTGGTCTTATGAGTGATGTGATAAGAGATCCTATCCAAGGCTTGGAAATGTAGAAGTCTCAAACCGATCCTATATGATCATGAGAAACTACCCTAACAAAGGTAGTGGTAATGAAACAATAAACTATCTTTTGTGGTCCTAAGAAATAAGACCGAGTCAGCAGAAAAAGGAAACAAGACACAGAGCTTAGGTTATTTTGTTTTTGAGCAGGCTTTGCTATGCTTGTCAACAAAGCATAACGCATATCTGCCCATTATAGTAGTGAAAAGTAAAGTCTTTGTGGGGCTCCCAACTTAGAGTCTGTTAAAAGGATGGGGATTAGAGAATCAGACTTTTAGACTTTCATTCTTCACAGCAAGAAAACTCTCCTAATATCTCCATAGGTCACCTTTCTCATATCATCCCATTATGGCATCAGAAGTGCCACAGTGTCTAGAAGATTGCTAGATCTTCCAAAATGCAAAAATGGACAATAAAACCCAAATAATATTTTTAAATGGCCTGATTGTTGTGAGACAGTTAATACAACATGATATTTTTGTCCTCACATAAGAAGATGTGAAATAGCAGCTATTTTTAATGATAAGGTCTATGAGGTTTTGCAGTGGAGCCCTTTGCTGGAAAAATGGATGGATGAATGACCCCATTTGCTTTCTTCAAGTCACAGGTCAGCTGTTTCAGAGCTCAGCTCTCTCAACAGAGACACAGTCCCAGTCTCTACTTCTGCACTCTTTCTCTCCTGGTCCGATCTACCCATTTACTGCCTGCTAATCAGATCATATAGGACTCTCTTTTGGCCTATCCCTTTTCCTAAAGACACTAGGAAACATTAAGCTTGTCCAGAGAAATCCTGGGAACAGATTCATTGAAACACTTGGTAGAGTACATAGCAGTAGCCTGCTTGAGCATCATGTTCCTCGCCTCCGCCTTGGAGGACAGGAAAGCACATAAAACATATGGAACAAAGTTATTTTCACAAAGCCACTTCTGGAAAGCAGTTTTCTAGACAGAAAGCAGAATTTCAAGTAGGGAAACAAGACATGCAGCAGTAGCAGGATTAAACTAATATTAAGATAAAGCAGAAATGCAAGCTAAATTGCACGGTTAGATAAGAAGAAATTTGATTACAAAATACTTGCATTTCACTATAGACAAGAAGTCTAGTCTGAGCCAGACTTAAGCCTAAGCTAGTTTGGACGTTATTTTCAGATTTGGATTTGCATGTATAGGAGCCATTTTATAGACATCACTGAATACATTGTAACATGATAACAATCAAGTCTGACTTGTTTAGCAAATCTGTGAAGTTCTGAGCCTGTTTTAGGATTGCAAATGATTGCCCAAGCAGCAAGTCCAACCACTAAAAGGTTCATTGTCTTATTACAAACCTACAAACATGTAAAAGAAGGACGTGAAAAGATTGCTTTAGGGTATGGCAAAATTCCTACATGGAAAAAAATTATGTAAATATTTCCTGCTAATTTCATGATACTAAGCATACATATGGCTTCCTTTCATATATTCAAACAGAGATGATATACATACAAGATAAATTTCTTAATGGAAGCTCCTTTGCTGTATATAGCAGTTTTTCAGTATAGACTATGTAAAAGGGAGTAGAGAATCTTCTCAACAAATAAATCTTTGCAGGAATTGTAACTGCTTACAGCTTCCTTTCGCAAACCTTTCCTCACTCAAACAATTTTACACGGTTACCAAATTTAAATAGGATCCTGATTCCAAGGTGTGAGTAAAAAGTCACTATTTCTTGGATACAGTTAATCAATTCAGCTTTAAGCTAAAGCCAAGGAACTACTGGCCCCTCCTTCTAAATCAGGGGTCCCCAACCCCCAGTCTGGGGCCCAGTACCAGGCCATAGACCATTGGGAACCAGGCCACGCAAATGGCAGATGAAAGCGCAAAGCTCTATTTGGGCAAGTGGCGGGGGCAAAACCATCCTCTCTCCCCACCATCATCACGGCTGGTCCACAGAGCTGGAAAGGTTGGGGACTCCTATTCTAAATCATTCTAAAAATGCAAATATTTGCATTGCAGAAGGTGGCACCATCAGTTTATGTGACCTGGATTATCAGATACTCTTTAGCCAGCATTGCAGATCATATGTTAAGACAGATGACTGCTGCTGCACAATACTTCTAAATAGATTCGGAAGAAATGTTCTGGAATGCATGAATGCTGTATAGCACTTGCCGGCAATTCATTAAAGCATATATGGTTTTTTTCCCAGACTGGATAACTACTGGAAAAGTACATAGCTGCTTTAATGAATCACAAGTATCCATATATTGCAAAATACCTCATGTGAATCTGATTAAATGCATTGGTTAGTTCTAGATTGACGGTGGTCTTTTACTGTGTCCAGTTCCTGGTCTATAATTTGATTTTTTTTTTCCAGACCTGGTGTCAACACTTAATTTGATAGGACAAATGCTGTGTTCAATGGGATATTCAGAGCTCATTGAGAGAAACGTCATCATTCTCCCTGTAATTAAAAAAAATATTATTCCCTTTCCAATGTGCTGCTTTTATAATTTCCTTCCCTCTCTGTTTTCCTGGTAAATTTGGGGTGGGAGTGAGGCATGACTGACTATAAGTAGGCAGAAATGAGTAGTAATGCTCAATCTATTGTTTACCATAATAGCGCTAAGGAAAGACAGAGCAGCGCTCCTCTGATCTTATGTTTTCCTGAGTGAAGCACCAGGATGACAGACTGACCAGAACCCTGCTTTGTTTTCTATATTTCTGCCTGGCAAGATGAACAGTTTGCTTTATCCCATAAGTCCTACCGTTTGCCAAAAGGGCTTGAGCCAAGATACTGGGACTGCAGGGCTTCCCTGATCATCTGAGCGTTGACCCTGGCAGCTCCGCCATAATGACTCTGCACCTTCTGTATGTCCATGAGCATCTTGGAATGGATGCGCCGTAACTTGTTCAGACTAGCACTCTTCTCCAGGGCATCAAAACGAACACCCGGTCCCAATTTCAAATTGCTACAATATAGAATAGGGAAGAGGTAGGAAGAGGAGGAATGGATGCAGCCCAGTGCCAGACCAAAGAGACAGCAACAGTCAAAGGAGGAGGATGGGGAAAGAACCATGCTGTTAAGCAAGGCACAGGTACCCAACAACTTTTACTAGCATTCATATAACAGGCAGCACTGAAAGAATCTACTCAGTGGTGCAAAATTCATTTGCAATAAATAACTTTCTGGGGAACCACATACCTCCCCAATTCATATACCCGCTTTCTATTCTCAGACATACCACATGGCCCCTCGCCCTGTCTCCCAAGTCACAAGAAATAAATTAGCACCAATGGGAAGATTAATTCTCTAATTCCCAGGGAAGGGGAATCAAGCAGGCTAAGGCACTGGGACACTCTGAGACACAGACATGTCACTGGGCTTTTTAAAAAATTCCATAGCTACTGATCAAAGCAAAATTAAAAGATGATAGATAGACGATAGACAGATAGATAGAT